GGGCACAATGAAATCACGTTCCTGCACAGTACGCCCTAAATGCTGACCCCTAAATAGAAACCCAGCTTTCATTGCATGTCCTACTGTCTTTTTCATTTGAGTCCCCTAAACCCAATGACGATATAATCCTCAACTCTGGAAGCAGTAAAGGCTTACACTAGGCAGGCATTTTCCAAAACAATAGTGTTATCCATGACAATAATTATGAGAGACCATTGCAGACTACCTGCTGGCAACCTGCGTTTTTATACCTGAAGACTGCATACAGGCAAGGGACACTTTTACATTCTCCGAAGAGCCACTCAACCAGGAACTGACCCAGTTTACAGTTGCTTCTAAAGCAGGGGGGAGGATGTGTTAACAACGACCCAAATATAGAATGTGCATAAATATATACATATATATGTCTGTGTGTATATATATATATATCCATATATTTGGACACGCACACGCACACCGAGTAGATGCAAGATTGTAAGGTGGAGGGCAGTCATCAATGAATAACTACGACCAACACCAAAAGCGTTATCTTGTCCAGAGGCTACGCGGCATTTCCTTTTTTCTTGGCAATGATGATTTAAAAGTAATATATCTGTGTCTGTAGAACATCTTTTCCCTATAGCAGAAGCACATCATTTGGGAAAGAAAAACATCCTTTTCTCAATAAGAAAAACGTCTGTTCCTAGGAGAAAGACGGTGTTCAATAACAACTCTGAAACCCAATCTGGTCCTAAGACACTTTGGTTACAGGAAAGGCCGTGCGTTTTGCATTTTTGGTTTTGCAATTTTTTGGTGGTTGCCGCAGACACGTAGCGGCTTGAAACAGATTGTTCTTGCACATGCCGAAGTTTTCACAAGAAAAACCGTTTTCACATGAAATCAGTCTTCACAAGATCCTCCCCATCAGGAAATTCTGTTCTGGAGCTTCCTCCAAAACCTCCATCCTCATCCCCTCAACGCAAGCCAGTAAGTATGGAATAGTAGAACTATTAAGACTAATCATGACATGTAGGATGATGATAAAAATGATAGTAGTTAGTAATTATCATACTTGTGCAGACTGCTAGCAAACCTTGCGCAAACCCTCCCAGAATGCCATCCAAACCTGCTCACACACGACCCTAAAACCTAAAACAAACAAAGCCTTCAAAGCTCACCGATCATGACTATACAGCAGGTCAAAACCATGCATGTCCCAAAAATGGGGCCGCCACACGGTTGAGGGTTAAGCGTACTCCTTCGCAGAATATTGTGCAACCAAGCCCAAATTTCATCTGGGCTGCACATGACCTTGTTCAACTCCGGCCCATTTTTCCTGAGACTGCGTCTGGGCCGCTGTAAGACTTCAACTAGAGCCGCCTCGTGAGGGATCGCTACTGTATTCTCTATATGTAATAATTGTGGAACAGTAAACCTACTACCACTCTATAGGTCCATATTGGGATGTATAGCGATAATGGAAAAGAAAATGGAAGCTACTATTTAGGGTTTAGGGTTACATTGGGTGTAATATTCGCCACGATCCACAACCCCATTTCTTACTAAGCACCAGGAATCTATTGGCGCAGGGGACGATTTCGAAAACGCGGTTGGTACCCAAAGTCTGCCGTACACAACTAGCTACCCTTCTACCTGGGGAATTCTGGGAAATTTGCAATGCAAGATTTGTAGTACCCACCTTAGGGAGCCGCGACAAATACATCCCAGCATAGTAGTTTCCATTCTACTTTTCCATGATCCCAATTTCCGCCGACCCCAGCCGGGGGCGGCGTTAGTGAAGACCCATAGTGTCGTTGCATTTCCTGCTTTGCCCCACCCCTACCCCCCCCTACCTTGAATTGCAGTGTTTGCCCGCCGCCGCCGCCACCTTCTCCACCGCCTCACCGACCTGACCCCGCACCGCCCTCATGCGTTCTCACCCCCCGCAGCCCATGACCCTACCTTGAATCATGCGTTCTCACCCCCCGCAGCCCATCACCCTACCTTGAATTGCAGTGTTTTAAAGGGCTCCAGTGCATGCCCATGTATCAGGCCCGGGGTGATCTCGGCAGAGCTGTATTAGCTGGAAGTTGATAGTAATAGAATAGTTCACTCCTTGTTCTACTCTGACACTGTGTTGTGCCTTGAACCACCTGAGCTGCGAGAACATGTAGTTGTGTGTGTATACATATATAGGTACAGGACATGTCATAATAAGTATTGTTGGAGACTTAGGGGGTTCCCTTTAGGGGCCCTATTTCTTAATGCCGCCGACCCTGCATCATTGTACCTTCTTCAAGGGGCCCCACCGGACACCCTTCCAAGACCACTCCAAAATTCACATGGATGTTTGAAGCGAATCCCCACGCTACGGAAGGATTTTTGAAGCATTTTG